ATGGCAATTATTTATTTTTTAAATGGCTGCTAATAGAAGCAGCTTAGTTTACTAATGATTTCGAAATCAACATCTTACTTTGGACAGAATTCTGACCAGAACCAAAGATCTTTCAGTTGCTAAAAGTAATATTTAACTTTTCCAATTTTTCTAGTTTTGTTCTTCATACTTCTAAATGTTAGTCGTTTAGTTTATGGAATCAAATGCCTTAGTGGCATCAATAGAGTACTGATTTCGAACCTCCTCCCTTAATATATGTTTTGAAATATTGTGACGAAGAATATAAATACGAGTTCTGTTTTGCTTGGTATGACATAGAGGTTTAAACACTTGTTTAGGATTAGAGAGGACGCCTATTCGATTCAGGATCCGTCTGCTGTGATTCAAGATTTCTGTGCTACCTTGGATCACTTAGGTCTTTCTAATCTCAATCGTCACTTGCCCATTCCCTTGATTCCTAAAAGAAGGCTGAATAAGAGGACCTTCTGCCCTACTCTCTGGTGTAGTCCAGAGGGATTGCTCGACTACCAGCATGGGAATAAAGCTCCCAAAAGTCCTTTCTTTCATAACAGATTTACATGAGTTCTGCCTCTCTTACGTCATTAAATCAACCGGTAATTTTATATTGACAAACTGATTCCATCTGTTGCATTTAATGTAGCTGGTTATTTTTAACTCGAAGAAACGAGGAGGAGTGAGTAGATACCTAGTATTATTCCGAGTAGTTTCGTGGATGTATCCATATATCTATTTCTTTCGAAAACGTACTTCCGCGACTTGGCTTTTTATCTGCTACTCAATCTGTCAGCAGATCGGTTGAAATTTTCAGTAAAATCTACAGAGGTAAAGGTTACTCTGTTCACTAAATAACTCGTCGTCGTAAAAATAACCTTTGAGGAAACTAAAAACAGGCGATTTATTCATTGCGCCGGTCGACAGACAAGTGAATAATTACGCGTCAATGTTGGTTTTGTTGAGAGACGGATAAGTATAATTACCACTAACGTTATCGGTTACTAATAAGTGGTTTTGTCATTTTGTTTTTCAAACTCGCATTATTTCCAGGTACAAAACGATTGATTTAGATTAACAAAGACATTTGTTAATCACGCAGTTAGAAGGATAGGTAAGTGTAAGGTATCTGTTTTTGCCAGAGAATAGATACGTTATGAAAACAATTAAATGACTCCATGGAAATCTTTTGGATTTAGCTGACGCTGTTTTATATAAACTATGTAATCTTTAGTATCTTTTGGACATTTCCAAAAAAGTTTCAATTATTGCGTATTTTGATCAGATATGATTACAATATGCCATTGAAAGCCTTTTCCATTTCTGTTCGACGATAATAATTCCGTGGATTGAGAATGTCACTGAATCGAAGTCAGTAAGAAAAATTGTTGATGGATGGTAAAAAGGGCTCGTTAGAGATAAATTAAAAGCAGAAAAAAAGTAAAGACAGGCAGAGGAAGACTTAGATTAGATTACTGTTCGCAGATGTAGATGTGGAATGTTTTAGTTTTCGGAAAATGCGAAGATTAACTCATCGGGATAGTAAGGAGTGGAGATACTTGCTCAATCAGTCTTCGGATTGATGACCCTGTGATGTTTGAAATGAAGTGGTTCTAAATTCAAGTTTTGTTATCCTAATATTCTTAATTGATTTAAAGGAATCTTGAGACTTGAAGTCTGCAGATTACAGAGCCTTATTGGTTTCGAGAGTCTTCCTATTTTATGTCCAAAAACATTCATTGGATTCCGTACAGTACAACCTGGTCTAAAATAAACATAATTACTCAATATGGATTGTTAAAAAATTATTATTATAAATTTTGAATTAGAAGAGTTTCAGCAGTAAGCAAGACGGTAAAGTTCATGAGTCTTTTATTATCCACCTCATCATTGCGTTTATTCTTGTGATATTTTTGTTCCTGTTTTCTTTTGAATAACCGTGCATGACGGACATGTCGTTTCATTTATAGTGCGTGGTTGTGTCAACAAAATTAGAAAGAGATTAGGAAGTTAAGCGTCCATCAAGCCGGACAATTAGCGGGGGCTGAAGCAGTAACGACCTATGTTGACGTGGTAGGGCGGCAAAAACTCATCTGTCAAACGGTTTGCGGTGCGGCGGGGGTGCCAGGGGGGTTTCGCTGCAGCACAGTTCGACGGCAAACAAGGCGAATGAGTATAAGAAGACGACGGTATGATAAATGAGGCCGTGACAGGTTTGGGCCATCTATCATGTGCAGAAGATTGGGACGCCGGGAGGAGGCCATTCGCTGGCAATTCATCATCGCGCTTTCACACCCATATCCTGCCATCATGATTGAAAGCAAAACTCTGTTATATATTTCGAGATTATTTTTACTGTCGAGCCACTGAATTTTCGGGCTTTTTTTACAAACTACTTTCCTCTCCTTAAGGTATGCCGACTCCTTCCAACTTCTTTCCATTCGACCACCTTTTCCTTAGGATTCCCGTTGACCGACTACATCATATTTATGTTGGAAACATTTCAAATTCATTTTATTATCATATGTGTACATATTATACTTCAGAGATCCATTACTGCAATTACGGCATCCAAATTAGCTCGTGGCGCTCCCCTTTGGATCCACATTGTTTCTAAATGGGATCATGATACTTTTACACTATGTTAGGTTCGGTTAGGCTTTGGTTTGGGTTGGTTGCATGTATTTCTTTTGTAATACTCGATATTCCATTTAAACCTCTTTCGGATCTACCCTCTACCCTCACCAAAAAATACTTCTGTAGTGTTGTACCGTCGTTTCAGGTTGTTCCACCTACTTTCCGTCTCCTCACACTAGGGTTCTAAATTTACCTGACATACACGAGGGTGCTACATTTAGGATTATTTGATGGGTGCCAGACAGATATGTTTATAATTAGGGTTCTTGCTGTAAACGAGTAAAAGAGAAAGCTGTTTTGTGGGAAATTATGACGAAAAGGTGGACGATAACACAGATGAACAAATACGATTCGTTTACCAATCGATTTTTTTTATTTAGAATCTTTGTAAAGTCCAAAGATTGTATGGGAAAAATAAGGGAAATGAAACTTTTTAGGTACTTGGTACGGTTAAATATCAACTTTTTATTGTCCTTAGGTGCCCCTTGGTGCTATTGTTTTCTCATAAAAATACTCAGAATGGATAGGTACAATTATAAGTACGTAATCTTCCTTTATAGTTCTTAAGGATATTTAAGTTCAAATGTTTTTGTAGGAATAGCAACCTATAAATTTTGTGAATTCTACATCTCATTAGATGAAAAACCTATATTACTATTTCTAACGAACGAAGGCGTGAAAACGACTCAGTATTATCAAAGAAAATGTCATTTTAAACTATTTTTCTTAATGATTTCATTTTATAGCAAAGGCATTTATTAAGTATAGTTCTGGTTAAGAATTTGGCGTTCATTAATTCTGAGTTGTTTTAAATAATCTACTGTTATTCAAAAAAGGCCTTTAATTAATGGATGTATTCTTCTAAAGGAAATCAAAAGTTTTATCTAATTTCAAAAGGAATTTTATAAAATACGTGGAATTATGATTTTAATTGTAGGTGACAATGATGGAAGGATAAACAAAATGATTAGAAATATAATAATTTAAATAGTGTGTTATTTTGCATATTACAATTTCAATATAGAAACTATTTTTTTATTAATTTTTATCTGTTTTTTTAATTATCAATCATTCGAAGGGGCATATCATTATTGAAGGTGTCTTATACATAAATAAAATCCATTTTGTAATGAAAATAAAAAAAGAATAAGTGAAAAAATTCGAAATAGCATACTAATATTGTAGCTAATAACCTCACAAATTTTATTATTAATTAAATTAATGCAAATAGTAAAATTGATATAGAACCTATATAAATAAAGAATTTGCTATTCAATTTTTTCGTTAAAATGAAAATGATTCTTGAATTTGTGTATGTATATGTATAATATTTATAGAATTATGGATTTTGTTTTGGAAGTAATTTCATTCAATTTTAATCTGTTTTTCAAGGCATGTGGTACAAGTACATAGCTCCCAAGAATATTAACTAGATTTTTTTCATTTATAATTAATATAATGTTTATAAAACATTAAAGATTGTAGAAAATTATGGAATTTACTAGAGTAGGTTTGAAGGTTCAAAATTAGCAATAAAACGCTTAAAATGGTAAACATACATCAATTATAGAATCATTGGATACTTTTTGTGGGTTTTAATTTGTTTATTTGTTCATTATAGTTGATTTTTTTTATAGAATAATTGAATACATTGGCTTGCAAAAATGTAAGCATAAAACACAGAAATACCAATTTTTCAATTCGTGCTTTATGTTTATCTTTATAATGGTTAACTCGTATCAAGGAATAATAAGGTATTATTTTAAAATAATAAAATAAAGTTATATAATTTGCGTAATGCTATAAGATTTATTATGTCGATAGGATTCAAATGAGGGATCTATTTGTTTAGGGTTCTGTGAATGAGGTATGATTTTAATTATGCTATTGTTTTAAAATCGGTTTTTAACCAATCAATCATTATTATATTACTTATTTTACTATTTAAAAGCATATTTATTAGAAATTAGTTGTGTTCTGCTTAAAAAAACATAATTATTTCATCTATGTTATGAAAAATTTACAGTTGGTATACCTGTCAGTTTTCTATTTTAAGCGTTGTATCTGTAGAAAATGCTTCAGTATGTGATTATCGTTTGTGGGGGTAGGTGTACGCTCTCGACATAAATTTTATATTAATTTTATCAACCAACCTCAAAGTTTATTTCTTTACAATGGAGTTGATTTGTGTACCTACCCAATGTTGTGTGCAACGAGATTCTGTTTATTAATTTGCCTAAACATATTCAATGGACTTCGAGTTCACATACATCTGACCAAGAAATGATGATCTGAACATACAATTTGAATCCTCAATTCACTGTGTTTGTCTATAGAACGAAGGCATTGACACATAGAAGTGACAGATATCTATTGAATCGAATGCACTGGATGCATTTTAATTTTCTCAATTTATAAGTGTAATCCGCTTAAGTTTTTAATTAATATGAAGTGTTACATAAGAGAATAATGTTGGACACATACTTGTGGATATTATTTTTTAATTATCAAGAATCTTCAAGAATTTTATTGTTTTTCATCATGGGTTACTAAACCACGCCATGTTAACCTATACAATGTGTTGATCGACCAAATAGTTCTGATTGTTTAAAAAAATTAGGAGTTTAAATGAGGTAAGCATCATCTTAATTTAGTTAATCTTGAAATATAGCTCTATTTTTTGTATATTTAGCATCAATTCGTATTATAATTTATTTTTTTTTTTGTTTCAGAAATTCTTGCTGTGCCTACTTATAATCAGTATTCCTGTGTCCGAAGAAGTGAAGCACAGGATATTAAATCTAATAAATGAAAAATAAATGAAAAAGTTGTTCTGACACAAATATTGCATGTTCGATTATCTTGGTTGCTTTGGTAGTGATTGTACCTGTATCATGCACGATTTGGCAATGATTTTTACAGTAAGTTTTTAGATTTTGAGTATTGTGTAGTAGAATATATTGGTAATATATGTAATTTGCATGAAGTATTGGTCGTATCCTGTTTTTCTGATAATGACATCGAGCTAATATTTGGATATTTTTCTGGGATTTCATTGATTTACAATAATTATCAATACAAAGATGTTGATTGCATTGTAGTTGTGTTTAGAGACAGGTCTTGAAATATTTTGCTTGATTCAGATTCTGATTCAACTTCTAAATCAGAATTGTGGTGCTCGTATTACTAAAGTTGTATAACTTGAGTAGATCGTTTTACTTTTTTTGCATTTATGATAAGTTGGCATTCATTTTTTAATAACATTTGTAAATTCATACCCCTACATTATATACAGTATCTATAATACAAAAGTAAAACTAAGGTTTTTCCATTAGTGCATGATTTAATGGTTGTAGAGGTTAGGTGGTAAATTACTTCAAAGTGGCTTCCAGTAGCTGCTGTTGCAGTATTATTTTGAGTTTTGAGTGTGGTAAAACACTACCATATTTCACAATTAGGTACATATAAATTGCTTATTTAAATACAACTTGGTGCATTCGTATAATTAATTGAGGGGGACTATAATTGTGTTTCCTTCGTAAAGCTCCTAATTTAATGTATCATTGATGGGTTTGGTAATCTATTGGGATGTGCTTAACGAAATTATTATTCCTTATTCGTTGTGTAGATATTGCTTTTTTGATGTTCATTAAATTTTAACTTTGTTTTCAAAATTCTCAAACATTTTTTGTTGATTACTTATTCACTAGTTTGGGGTCGTCTATACAAGGTAGTCTATTAAGCGCACGTTGCTCTCTAGCGGTCTTGCCGTAGAAATTGGAAAAAAATGTTTCCAATAAAAAATGTCCCTGGTCAAATTATCCATTTGCAGAAATTAATTTCAGAGTTGGCCGAGTTCCGGATATACCGGAAGTATACATCAGCTGTCTTATTTTAAATGAAACACTGTATATTATTACACTTTTGAATTCAGTATCGATTTTAATGTCCAGTTGCTAAGCATAGTTTTACCCTGCGCGGTATATTTTAGGAGTTATTGAGTAATTTCTAGAAAATTTGACGTTTGTAGTACCTTACAAAAATTTTAATATCTCGACAATTATACTCGATAAAAAGATGCGGCTGCTACTGTTGAAAAGAGCATGAAACGTACTTGACTTTCCATCTAAAAATTTCTTTTACAGCACATTAAATTATTACAGTAGTAATGTTCAAATTTTAAATGTTTCAAACATCAATAACCCTTTTTTTTCCAAATGGGAGGCTATGTTCATTTTGACATCGTTGGATGCAAAATTAAATTTTCTTTCGATTTTGTTAAGGCATATTAGGATCTACGCTTGACGGTTTTCAAATTAATTGCGATTTGTTAATTATTCTGTAATGTGCAGAGAAAAAGGATAGAACTAGGCGGCATGGGTCTATAGCCGAAAATACATTCTGTCGTGTTTATTCGAATTATTGATAAAATTACTTAAACACAACACAATACAAACAATGTCATAAAAGATTGCCGTGACTTCACGAGCAGAATTTTCTCAAAATAGTTTATTGCCGTAGTAAATAAAACTTCGATATAAANTTAATTGTATGTGTTGTGTTGAGTTTAAGTAAGTTTATCAATAATTCGAGTAAACATGACAGAATGTATTTTCGGCTATAGACTCATGCCGCCTAGTTTTATCCGTTTTCTCTGCACAATAATTCTCTACAGAATAATTAACAAATAGCAATTATTTTAAAAACCGTCAAGCATAGACCCTAATATGGCTTAATAAAATCGAAAGAAAATTTAATTTTACATCCAACGATGTCGAAATGAACATAGCTTCCCATTTGGAAAGAAAATAGTTATTGATGTTTGAAACATTTAAAATTTGAACATTACTACTGCAATGATTTAATGTGCTTTAAAAGAAATTGTTATATAGAAAGCCAAGTGCGTTTTATGCTCTTTTCAACAGCGGCAGCCGTATCTTTTTATTGAGTATAATTGCCGAGATATTAAAATTTTTGTAAGGTACTATAAACGTCAAATTTTCTAGAAATTACTCAATAATTCCAAAGAGATACCGCGCAGGCAAAGACTATGCTTAACAATCTGGACATTAAAATCGATGTTGAATTCAAAATATACTAATATACAGAGTGTTTCTTTTAAAATAAGGCAGCTGATGTATACTTCCGGTATATCCGGAAGTCCGCCAACTCTGAAATTAATTTCTGCAAATGGATGATTTGACCAGGGACATTTTTTATTGGAAACATTTTTTCCAGTTTCAACGGCGACACCCCTGGAGAGCAAGGCGCGCTTAATGGACTACCCTGTATAATAAGAAAAAAATTTAATCTTTTTGGACCGCTTCGCCACACTTTCAGCGACCCCTTTAGTAAACATTACGTTTAAAACCTAATTCACACCCCCCACCACAAATGATTATTTGTGATTCAAAATAGCAGTGAGAATGACTACTATCTTAATGACGAAATGTAAGAACTGTTATGTAAAAAAAACATTAAAATAAAATTGATGAACTGCTAAAGTCACATTTCCTTAGACCCCCTCGCCCCCCTTGTCATAACTCGTTACGCTAAGAAATACCCCGCCACCCTCCTTATTTGCGAACGTATCGTATGAACGATCCCTTTTTGATAAATTTATTTTAACTAAGGCTCACCCTCGCCCGCTATTTTGGATTCATTAGATGGGAAAAACTGTAGCTTACAATTCAGAGACTAGAATGAATTATTGAAAAAGTTCAGATTTTTCCCAAATGAATTAGCAGTTTATCGTGAAGCCATGAAAAAAGTGAATCGTACTCTGATTAAAGATGGACATAGTTAAGTGTATAATATAAAAATGTATTGTACCAACTATAACCCCACGACATCGCCTTCGGTTTTAATAAATGTTGTCATTTAGTTTGTGCATATAGTTGCAAGAATTGTAAAATACTTCGGGACAACCAATATCGGTGGGATTTACATTGACGTAAGCTGTGAAAAAGTTATAGGTATGTTCCTCACAACGGATTAAAGTTATTGTGACTTTGTGAATAGTGTTTAGAAGCCAGTATTTCAAAAGTTAATGTTCCTGTGAAGTGTTATGATTGACTTAACGTTGGTAAAGATTTTTTTGTGATTGAAAAATTTTTACTCCCATTTTAACAGTTTATTTGTCGGATGCGTCATGCCCCATTTTGGCACTGTTTACCGGTTTCTGTAATAGTACGGTGTCAGAAACAGTCTGTTTACACCAATTAAACCGTGTCAGTGGTAAAATACAAATGCATTAGGCGTGCACTGCAACAGTAATGAATCTTGGCATTCTTCTCGCGCCTCTGGCAACCGATGGTGGCGTCGTTGCTGTCTGTTTTTCCTTGTGAAGCAACCAGGATAGTATACCATTCGTCGAGGCAATTTTTATATATCTCTCTTCGAGACAATTTCACGGAAAGACGCTTTGCGAGCAGGCGAATAGCTACACGAGCTATTTGAGGATGTCGAGCTGATAGATTTAGACAGTAACAGGTGTTGCGCTTCGTCATTGCACCAGTCTGGTCGACTATTTCATTACAGTGGTTCTAAATTTTCACCAGAAGATCTACAAGATACCGATCGCTTCGTTAAAAGGTCAATTGACATTTATTCTGAATTAGCTGACGACAACTCGCCTAGCTTGTTCCTCGCTTATTCAAAACGAGTGTTTGGTGATTGATTCGCAAATCTAAACAAAAACCAAACTGAGCCAGGAGTCAGTCCTACGACTTGCAGTTGATGTTCCTCGGAACATTTGAGATTCTTCCGGTCCAGTTCACTTTAGAATATTCTACAGGGGGCAATCCTAAACATTGGAGAACATTATTGCTGGGGATCACGCTAGATACAAAGGAACATGCTAGTTTTTAATAGATTCCTACTTAGTCTAGACGGGTGTTTAATGGCCGGTAGTCGACCTACAAAGCCACATGCCTACAAAAGTGGAGTATTTTCGAACATTATACGAGATGCCAAACATTTTTTAGAACACTGGGTGAAATTTGAAAATGCTCTTGAAGGAAAACTTTCAACCACCACTTTATCACACCACCGCAGCTACTGACATATGGTGCCACCATACTGCACTGCGGGAGACTTGAGGCTACTACCACATATACCAGTGGTCTGCCCTGGTATTTAGGCATTTTAGTATTGTTTGTCTTGATCTACATGATGTGAAAGCAATAATTATTACATTTTTTATCATGCAACAGCTGTGAATATCGAATTCATACATATTTAACTTTTTCATCCTCATGAAAAGTGAGCGTTAACATTTACTCTTGTATAATGACAGTATCTGTCGATTCATTTACCTTGGGCTCATTGAGGATAGACGGGAGTTTATTTATGCTTGGCGAGATGAAAAGGTCTAAGTTTTATTCTACGCTTAATTTATGTGTAATTGGTCAAGATGTATGCGCATACATCTTCTGTTTAAGTAATATTGTTTAATTCGGTTTTCCGGTATGCAGCAAAAAGCAATAAACTTAGTTTAAGAAACATTGCTGTTCAAATGAACCAAAGAAGTTCATCTGCTTACTCTTAATGATCAGAAGAAAGTAAAAGAAATTACTCTAAAAGAAGACAATTGAGAGTATGGACTACTTGAAGTTGAATACTCTTTACTTATGCTTTCGAAAAGAGAAGAGCAAGTAGATACATTTTTGTGCTCGCTCGGTCTTGGGTCTTGTTTACTGTCGGCTTTATGATTAGAAGAAATGAGAACTTAACATATTAAAGTTTTTGCGTATCGTTCCTTAATATTCAAGATTGCAGGAACTGGCGACCAAAGTTTTCAGTGTATGCTAATTGTGTAATCCGTTGAGTTAGTATTTGGTATTCCACCTGAGTTTTTTATTGAACGGCTCATATATGGTGTCTGTTGACTGGGAAGACAGATTACATGTAGTTACTTTTTATACAGTATTACAGCTTCTACTTGGTGAAGTGACGGCCAGGCAATTTACTCGAACAAATCGTGTGTACTGTTCGTAGCCTTCCGCGCGGCGCGGTGTAAATTGCTTCGTGTCGACCCGCCATCAAGCAAGTCTTGCGTAAATTGCCTGGCACAAGCTCATTGTGGCGTAGCCCCTGCCTTTACCGGCGCCGCTGCCGCCGTCTTTCTCTGTTATCGCTGGTGTGCTTGCTCGGCTTCTCAAATCCTTTTTTACGACAGCGTCGCCGTAAAGCCGTCCGTAAACCTAACAATTTATTCCCGAGGCCCTCGTAAAAGTCGCCTTAAACTCTCCAGAAATTATTTATGAAAACCTTAGCCTGGCTGATTTACGACCGCTTTCCGCCCGGTTCCGCGGGTGAAACGAACATAGTGCGTCACCTGGTTAGTTTAGCGGGCAAGTTGGTTTTAACTTCCTGCTTGTTATCTAGAAAATAGAACCTACCGTGTTTACTTATCCATGTGTAGTAGTAGCAGCAGTACTAATAGCAATAATTCATTTTATAAGATTATTTATCCATTAGCTCATAAATAAGACAGAAGGAAGAAATTATGATCTTTTAGTGTCAGCTGGATGAATAGAATGTAGTTGGGTTCCAGAAATAAATATTTAATGATAAAATTGGTTTTATTTAACCTTTACTTTATTATAATTTTTACGTTTAGTCGGAAACCTCTTCATCATCATCATCATAATCAGAAGGTCGTCAGTCCTAAAACTGGTTGGACACGTACCTTCACTCTTTCCTATCCTGACCTAAACTTACTTCCCATTTCCCTAAAACTAGAACAACCCACATCCTTAACTGTTTGCGAGCAGTAATCTAAAATCTAGGTCTACCTCTACCCCTCCTAACTCTTTTTTCTGCCTCTAATATGTCTCTGACTAGACCTTCATGCCTATTAACGAACATTTAATAAATTAGAGCAGAAGTAAAAATATCCCTGCTATCTTAAAAAATAACATAAATGAAAAAAATTTAATACATGTCATTTAATTTATCGGGTGGTAATCTACCATAATATTGTAATCCATCATAATATCCATTCCTTACCGTGTTTTCTTTTGTTTCAGATCCACCTGGGATTGTTATGTAAGCCGTCAAGGAGCGACGATCTTTTATAATAATTTTGTAGACGGCTGCATCGCGGTCAAAGTGAAAGCAGCTGCCACTTGCTGTATTAATTTTGCAATTTACCATTCTATGTTGTTCTGCTCTTCATCATTTTGCTTTAATATTTCTCATATACTTGTGAGTCAAGATGTACCGAACGCTAAACGAAAACTATGTCATTCACATCGTTGAATGAGCCAATTCGTTTATGTGGTGTTGGTATCTCTTTATTAGATGGAACTAGGATATCACTATATATTTCTGGTTTTTCTCCTTTTCCTTAATATAAATGTTTCTTGTTGGAAATGGGGCATTAAAAGCATCTAGGACGTGCCAAGCGCTAAACGAAAACTATGTCATTCGCATCGTTGAATGAGCCAATTCGTTTATGTGGTGTTGGTACCTTCTTTTCTGCCTGAAATAGGGTATAACTAAATTCTGTTTATGTCCTGACCTTTCTACACTTCTTAACATAGATTATTCTTGTTTGACAATGGGGCATTAAAAGCATCTAGGACGTGCCAAGCACTAAACGAAAACTATGTCATTCACATCGTTGAATGAGCCAATTCGTTTATTGCAGTATTGACATCTCCTTTTCTGACAAAAACAGTTTACTACCAGATTCAGTTTTTATTTCTGACTTTTTTCTTTTTTGTAATATACATTGCTTTTTATTGGAAAACGGGGCATTAAGGATATATACAACGTATACTGAACGCAAAAGGATAGTTTATATTTCTGATTTTGTCGTTTTTCTGTATGTGGGTTTTGTTGGAAAATGGAGCTTCAGAGACAGAAGAGAAGTACTCCGCGCTAAAGGAATGCTGCGTTGTTTATATTTATAGTTTTTCTTTGCATGTTTCTTTTTTTGTTTTGGAAAATGGGGCTTTATAGAGAGATATGTGACGTAACGGGTGCTAAACGAAAACTTATTATTTTTACTGAATTATGAATTATGAGTATACCGTAGAAATTAAAAGGTACTCGAATGAATAGGTAAACAGAAGACTCTACAGAAACATGAAAACAGAAATTTCTGTCATTCGCAACTTCGACTGAAAAAAATTGTTGTTCCTTTTATAGGGACGTTTACTAATTGCCTTTCGCACAACATTCAATTTGGTCCTTGTTTGTCCGCAAAGTCTTTCGCTCTCCATGTATACATACGTCCTCATTAAGCAGCAAACCTGACTTAGGTCCATTCAGAAAAGTTTGTTCGAAACCATAATTATGATACTGATACCGAACTACTGGTGTTGATGCGTCAAAGTAATCTATACTTGAGCAAACCATCAAGCTATAAGTCCTGCATATCCTCTTATATTGGATACTGTTGTTCATTAATTTTATTTTGTCCTTTATTCTTATCTTAAATTACCATTTTTATCCTTGTTATTGCTTGTGGCACAACAATTCTAATTACATTCCACTCTAACGCTTTCAATATATTTTCCGGCTTTGATTATCCCAAGGGCGGTAAATTTTAGTTTAGATCATAATCCACTAAAATAATTTCTCTGCCTTGCATTATCATCCACATTTCTTTTTATTCCAAGGGCAAGGAAGACATTTGGTAATTGTCTTATCATATAACTTTCAGTTTGATTCTATTGAATATACACTGTCTTATGACTTTTTCATTCGTTTCTCTTCACGCATAATTCTCATGGTAAGGCTCTCAAAATTTTCTTACCATGCATTCCCAAATTCATAAAATTTATTTTTCTTGCGAGCTCTGTACTTCATAGTTATAGTTCTATAGTTCTCGATGGGATGTGCCGATAATTCTGCATTTTTAATAATGAAATCAAAAAATCAAATTTTGGACTGCTAACTTCATGCCACGTCCTTTATTCAAAACAGAGAGTTAGATGCCTAATGAAGATAAAAAGTAATGAATTCTATAGTTGCTAATGGTTTTTATACGAGAAATTGCTAAAAATTTGAACATTTTGAAAAAATTCGTTTTCAAGCTTTAACCGAAGTTCTGGGCAGTCCCTAAGGAAATGTTTCGAAATGTCATCTTGCATTTTCGCTAGAACTCGATTGCTTACAAGTTAGTTGAAAAATATGGTAGCTAAAGATTAACTGAACAGTTTGTAACTTTAAAATATGTTGCTGAATTTAAGCCAAGCGCCAGTGTCTGTAATAGTACCTCAGGTTGTATATTTGTTACCCCAAAAGCTATATTTCTTCTCTATAACTCTGGGGTGTTGGTAATTTTCTTGACCCAAAACGGTACATTTAACAATCCGTAAGACTACAAAACGTAAACTTGCACGAATCGCCAGTTTTACTGTTGTTCTAATTAGACTCATCCTCGACTGAGTATTTGACACACTTTGAACTGTTTTTCCACCACAGAACTCCGCAGTGCTGCAATTTTGCGTTCCAAAAGAGGAATTCAGCGAGTTACAATCCTAAAAATCAGCGTTACGTAGGAATCGCGAGTTTCTACCGCAGTTCTGATTAAAACTATCCATACGAGAGTATTTTACACCGTCAGAACTTTGTCCATCCTAGAACTCTGGGGAGCTAACTATTTCTCGAAGGATAACGGGATATAAGATGAGTTACATGTCTAAAAATCACTTCGTCTGCGAATTGAGAGTTTTTACCGTTGTTCTGGCTAGAACTGCTATAAAAACTTGGAATTTGCACTAGACGTTGATTTTTTAGGCTTGAAGCTCTCCAAATATCCCGCTTTCTGTTTGAGAATGGCTAGTAACCCATATTTCTGGGGCGGAAAAACGGTTCCGGATGTGTAAGATGCTCAGTTGGAGATAGTTTTACTCGGAGCTGCTGTAAAAACTTGCGATTACCACGAGTTTGCGTTTCAAAGGCTTGTAACTCACTGAATATCCTGTTTTGGGTTGAAAAATGGTTATAACTATAGAGTTATGGGATGGAAAAACAGTTCCAAGTGTATCAAGTACCTAGTTGGGGATAGGTCTGGCCAAAATTGCAGTAAAAACTGGCGATTCGTAAGAATTTGCGTTTTGTAAGTTTATGACTCCTTGAATATCCCGGTTTGGGTCAAAAAATAGCCAGCCTCCCGGAGTTTTGGGGCGAAAGAATAGCTTCTGGGTTAAAAAATACAACTTGAGGTGCTTTTGCTCAGAACTATTTCAAGTACCTACTTGCGCTTATTGTAAATTCGTCGCAAACATATTTTGAAGTCGCAAAATCGTTGACCAATCTATGTTGATCCTATTTTTCAGTTAATTTCCAAACAATCGGGTTCTCGTGACAATGCAAGAGGACTTTTCGATTTAACTCGTTAGTGAGTGTTCACAACTTCGGTAGAGACTTGAAAAAGAAGTTTTCCAAAATCTTCAAATTTGACGTAATTTTTTGCAAAAATCATCAGGCACTCTGGAACCCTTTGTTTCTTATCCTTGTTAGGTGTCAGAACTATTGTTCTATGATAATGGGGTGCCTCATAGAGTTAGCATTCCGAAATTTAATTTTTTTGATTTTAATATTAAAAATGCACAATTATTGGTGCAGCCAATCCAAAATTATAGAACTGTTCTAGAATATAGAATCAGTTTTTAATTTGCCCCTTGCCTGCTTTTTCACTATCACCCATCTGGAAATCTTAATATTGAACTACTCCATCCTCAGACGCTTCTCGATACAGTACTTTTAATTTATTTCAAATGGATTTGGAAGATTACTCCAAACAAAATATGTAAAGAAAATCTTGGCGTTGAACTGCTTAACAGATTCACCATTCATTGACTTCATTTGCCCCTTGCCTGCTTGTTCACTGTCACCCATCAGGAAATCTTGCTGCCATGCATGAACTACTCCATCCTCAGACGCTTCTCGATACAGTACTTTTAAATTATTCCAAATGGATTTGGAATTTGTACAATTTCTCAAAATAGGACGTTGTTTCCGAGGGTAGTTAGTAAACATGTGTTTACAGTTCGGTTTCGTCAAATAGCAGCTTGGTGTCCTAAGTACATCGCTTCTGGCATTGTTTAGATCCTTATTGGAATGGATGCTTAGCTATGATCTTAATTTTTATTATCGACTCACTTGTCCGTTGATATTTATGTATGTAGTACCTATGAATGTTTATTCTTGTATAGTATGGAGTATTGGAGCTATCTTCTAACTGGTCATTTACATTTCATTCTCAATTGGTCTTTCGCAAGAGTGGGTTCATTAAATGGAGAAATAGTCTGACATTCTTACCATCTATTCCCAAATTCATAAATTTTATTTTTCTTGTTAGCTCTGTACTTTATAGTTATAGTTCTATAGTTCTTGATGGGATGTGCCGATAATTCTGCATTGGTAGTAATGAACTCAAAAAAAATAAATTTTGGACTGCTTACTTCATGCCACGTCCTTTATTCAAACAGAGAATTCTGATGCCTAATGAACATAAACAATAACGAATTCTAGAGGACCTAATGGTTTTTGCAAAAGTCATCAGGCACTCTGGGACTCTTTGTTTCTTATCCTTGTTAGGTGTCAGAACTATTGTTCTACGTTAATGGGGTGCGTCATGGAGTTAGTATCCCGAAATTTAATTTTCTAGATTTTAATATTAAAAATGCAGAATCATTGGTGCAGCCAATCTAAAACTATAGAACTGTCCTAGAGTATAGAATCAGGAGTGCAAACGCCCTAGAGTTTATTTTCAAGCTATTCCAACAAAATATGTAAGGAAAATCTTGACGTTTGCTTAACAAATTCACCATTCATTGGTTTTTCTGATAGTTTTCCATTTGCCCCTTGCCTGATTGTTCACTGTCATCCATCTGGAAATCTTAATATTGCTGCCATGCTTGAACTATTCCATCCTCAGACGCTTCTCGATACAGTACTTTTAATTTATCCCAAATGGATTTGGAATATTACTCCAATAAAATATATAAAGAAAATCTTGCCGTTTGCTTAACAAATTCACCATTCATTGACTTTTCTGATAGTTTTCCATTTGCCCTTTGCCTGCTTGTTCACTGTCACCCACCTGGAAATCTTAATATTTCTGCCATGCATGAACTACTCCATCCTCAGACGCTTCTCGATACAGTGCTTTTAATTTATCCCAAATGGA